GCTGCAGACTCATTCTGTCAGAGTTTCCCCCTTACCGCTTCCTCCTTATAATTCAGTGTTTTCAGTGCCCACTGCTGACCTCTGAGGCTAGGCAAAGTCAAGTTGGGAACAATCCGACTATTGATTCTGTTTCACTCTACAATAGATAGCCTCAGCTGTGAAAACTTGGGTTAATGAGTCACCTCTGGCTTCAAAAATCTTGTTAAGGGCCTGCAATAAAAATGACCAAACAAGATGTTCCTATCATTTTCTTTTCCCGACACGTTGCTGGGGAGGAGAATCTAAATGAATGCTCCGTTTAGTCCACATATGACACACCTTTTCTAGTTATTTTATATGGTACATTTAGGAGAAGAGGGAAGAAAAGGTAAAGAAGACATGCTATGCCTTTTTTTTTTGTGGTAGAATGGCCACAGAGGAGACCCAGGATAGACCAGAGTTTGACTGTCTTTCTGCCTTAACAATCCCTCTTCTCATGATCTGATACCTTCTGCTTTTGAAGGGCGAATCAAGTTTGAATAGATAAGGCCAAGTGCCTTCTTCATTTGAGTCTCTATTTCAACAGTAATTTGGGTGTTACCTATTTATATGGAATCTTGGCTTGGGCCCCTCTCAACAGACTTAGGTATCTTCCCGCATGGTGGCAGTGTGACGGCATCGGTCCTGATAATCTTATCCAGACCCAAGGTAAACCCTCCTTTCTTATTCTAAGTTTATGTTTTCACATCTGAGTTACTCCTGGTGGTGGGTGGAGGTGGAAATAGGGAATGGACAATAAGAATTACCCGATATGTCTCGTCTCTTTCTCCTCGTTAATTGTATATTCCATTGTTTCAAAGGTTGTAATCATGGTTACCTTTATAAAGCTTTTTAATGGTCTTGAGGCACGTAGCAATCCTATGTAACTACATAATTATCTTGAGAGACACATCAATACCATCTTCATTGTGTAAATGGGAAAAACAGGCCCAGAGAAGGTGACGTTCGAAAGCCCTGGTTATTTATTTCTCAGAGAGTTTTTGGCAGTAGGCTTAGGGAGATATTTAAAGATGAATAAAATTTTATCCACTCTTTTAAGGAATTCACCTTGGATAATACAGATGTAAACAAATGATCCCCTTAAAGTCAGGTGAATGTTATGGCAGAGGGTTGTGATAGAGGAAGGAGGAAAGACCATGCAAGCAGGAAAGGCGTGGTTGCTGGTAGGGAAAAGCTGGAGAGAAAGTGACAGGTAAGCTGAGTCTGGCATGCCTGATCTGCCATCAACACACATGGCCTCACATGGCATCACACTGTCCTCAACTGGAAAGTGTTGCATTTGAACTGAATGCTTTCTTGGGATCTAAAAGATTGAGCCCTCAGAGAAAATGAGAGTTCATAAAGTTGGTGTTTTGGGGTGGAGTGGAATGAGATAAGCTTGGGAAAGCAGTTTAATGAGTGCTGTGAAAATCCGAATAAATACCAGTTAAAGAGTAAGTTTTATTGTATCCCCTTGCAAGGGGGGTGTGATTCAAGTGGGTAGTGTGAAGCCCTGAAGGACTGAGCTTCCTTCTGAAAAGCAAAGGAGTGGCTACTCTCAGAAACAGCTGAAGTGAATTCATCGTTCAGATGAAAGTCAGCCAGCTCTACCAGCAGTATACCCCTCTGCCCATGAGTCCATGGAACTTTCTACCCTGCATGACCTGGAACCAATGTACTTCACTCAAATGATCACACTTTCATACCAGAAATGGGAATGATGGCAGTATTCCAGCACACAGGTATGTTGTCCGAAAAGCTTAGCCTTTGGTAAACTCGTTCAGTCTTTTAATAAAGCCAGAAAGCCACGTAATGCTTTACTAATGACATCTTTTCCAATGTCAAACAAGGAACAGAAGGAATCATTGAAAGCAAACCACCTCCAACAGGACTTAATTGGGCCAATTTACCTCATTTAAAACCAAAGGGTCAAATAGGACATAGAGCAACGAGTATCCAAGCACCCTCATTCTGTTCTCTGTACCTGTTTCTTGGTCTGTTAAACTTTGCAAATGCCTTTGAAGGTCTTAGGCAACCAGACTACTTAAATTTAGAATAAATTATAGAGTCCCTGAGGCTCAGAAGCTGACTTCAAGGCTTCTGGTCACTGGAGTAATATTCTGGTCTCTTATGATAGTCCAGTGTTTAGCAACATTTACTGCATAGATGCTAGAATTTTTATGATATTTAAAGTTCAGAATTTCAGGACACGTTTTTTTTTCACAAGGTAATATGAGCCAGAATTATATTTCTTTGAAGCTAACATAAAGACTACTTGGAGGTTTTCACCCCTTCGGCATCCAAGATAAAGGTGTAACAACATCATTTAGGATAGCTGGATTCTCAGTGGTTTTAATTTACCATTGATTCCACCTTTAGCTACTTAGTATTAAGGGAAGAACAGGCATGGGAGTATTGCTCAAGTTCCCTTGCCTAGGCAGAGTGAAGATTTCTGGAGAGTAGTCTGCTTTCCTTAATCGTTTAGCTTTGGGTTCACTAAGCTTTTCACAACATCCCAATAGATGTGACTAGTGTTCTCATGTGGGGGGAGAAGACCCACCAAAATAGACAAATAATTTGACAGAACTCAAAGTCAGTAGACATAAGTTCCTCAAGTTAAAAAAGAAAAGTTGCTGAACTCTGTAAGAATATTTTGCAGTTTTGATGTTTTGAATAACTAGGAAACAGGAGGAACTATTAGAAACTTATCTAACACTAGATATCTTTCTAACACCCACTCCTCCACCCTCCAGTGGAAATCCAGGAAGAGGCGACACCTTCAGCAAGATGGCTGCTGCCACTGCTCTGAGTCGGTCAGACGTGATTAAAGCTCTGTTCAAACACGCCCTAGTTTCCTCAGAGGGAGCACTTTCAGCCTTCCCTGAACTTCCAGGCCTCAGGGCTAAGCACAGCATACAGATTTTTCCTTCCAGACATTTGGCTTCTGAGTGATTTTTTTTTTTGTCTCTAAGGGTAATAAAGGTACATCAGATGTTGCTCCGTGTACCAGGAAGTTAGCTTTGAAGACTGAATGAACCACTTCAAAGGCTAGGCACCCCATGGAGATGGCTGTCCCTGGGGATTGTGAGCCATCGGGGCATGCCAATCAACCCGGGACACAATGCCCACCAAGCCACTTACCAGCTAAAGGCTGATTGTCAAAAATGTCAAATGTGACAAATTGGCATGCCAAAACTTAAAACTGCCCTACCTTCAGAATCAGCATAAAATATGTTACCATGCCTTGAACTCTGTGGTCAAAACATGTCATTCATATGTAGAAGGATTTACAAGTTAAATGGAATGAAATTTGAATGACTATGAAGCTCAGCACAGAGGGCTTTTCATTGTTGATCTTGAGGTCAAGGTTTAACTCATCAGAGCACGTTAAACAGGGAAGATCAAGTCCATGGTAGGGACCCTAAGGAAGAATCACAGCCACAATTGTGCTTTGTATTTATAGCTTAGCAAATGAAGGACACTGTAAATAACTGCCTCCAAGTTGGCAGGGGCCTTAGAAAGCATCTGGCCTTGTGTCCTTTTTTAGAGTTGCAGAAATGGAGCCCCAGAGAGGGATGTGAATTACCTAACTTTACTGAAACGTTAGTGGTAGAAGTATGGACTCCAAACCAGGCCCTCTGAGTCCTAGTTTAGAAGACCACCCTGGGAACATATGGAGCCGTAGAGAAGAGTGCAGACTTTGTGTTACATGGACTTGCAGCCCTTTCTGCCTTTTACTAGCCTTTAATGCACATATTTTCAGTGTCTTCATCTGTAAAGAAAAGGCTGATAATATCTATTTAATAAATTATCAAGAGATTTAATTGGCCAGTCAGGATGACTCACGCCTGTAATGTGAGCACTTTTAGGAGACCAAGGCTGGAGAATCATTTGAGGACAGGAGTTTGAGACCAGGCTGGCAAACATATGGAGATTAGGAAGGAAGGAAGGAAGGAAGGAAGGAAGGAAGGAAGGAAGGAAGGAAGGAAGGAAGGAGTAAGGAAGGAAAGAGGGAAGGAAGAAGGGAGGGAGGGAAAAAGTGAAGGGAGGAAAGGAAGGAGGGAGGGAGGGAGAAAGCAAAGGGATTCAAGGAAGGAAGGAAAGGAAGGAGAGAAGAGAAAGAGAGGAAAGAAGGAAGGAAGGAGGGAGGGAGGGAAAAAGGAAAGGAATGAAGGAGAGAAGAGAAAGGAAGGAGGGAAGGAGAGAAGGAGGGAGAAAGCAAAGGAAGGAAAGAAAGGAAGGAGAGAAGAGAAAGGAAGGAAGGAAGGAGTGAGGGAAGGAGGGAAGGGAAAGAAGGAAGGGGAGAGAGATTGGGAAGGAAAGATTGGTTTAATTGAGATTATGAAAGGAAAGAGCCAAACACAAAGCAGGTGATCATTAAAAGACAATGACTTGTGGCTATATCACAACACCTACAATGAAGGAAAATGAATAGAACTGTGAATTCTCTGGCAATACTTTACCTGCCCTCATAACTTTTTTTCAAATGCATTATTTCTTGATCAACCTCAGAACTTTTGAAGTTAATTTTCATATAGTTACATTTAGAAATAGTCTTTGATCATAAATAACACACTTATTGCTAGGGCAGGGGCACAGGAGAAGAGAAACTTGTTACAAAACTACAAAATTGAGAGTTTTTAACTCCAAGCTGGTGGTCAATCAGCAGTCTGGAAAAGAGAGGCCCATCTTTTCTGCAGCCACCTCAGTTGTCCTTCTGACAGCCTCGCTTTCTATCTGCACTGTGACATTACAGCTACTTTGTTTGTGCTACTTTGAAAGACACAATTTTTATCTATTTCCTTTTACTGCTTTTCAACCATGTAAAAAACACGGAATCGTTAGTGAGCAGCAGAGGGCACTATTAGCATATTTTGCTGGGAGGGGTTACAAAATTAAAAAGATGCCTCTATGCATTCATTCATTCATTCATCCTAGCAAGTCTTGATTTAACATTTACCATGTTCTCAGCATTTAAAGGAATGCTAAACAAACATGAGGTGTTGCGCTTACAGTCCAGGTGGGAATATGATATAAAACGATACCTGCGGTTCCTGCCTGAATGCAAAAAGTGCGTGCTTTGGAGGTTTTTGAGGACAGCAGAGTTCAGTTCAGTAGGCTGCTGCGACCCAGCAAGTATTCGGGAAGACGTTAGTCTAGAGTTGTTACTTAAATGATGAGCATAATATGGAAAGGTAAAGATACAATATGTAAGAGATGAAATACACAACATTAAGAAAACAGTAAGTCTTGCATTGCCAGGAACACCAATACTAATTGTTGACAACCACTACTCTGACGAGTATTACTTCTACTGCTTATAATAGTCCTCGTGGTTCACCGGTTGGTTAGCTGCTCTCACAAGCGTGATGTCATTTTGCCCTCACTGTAACCCTGTGACTTCAGCTCTATAGGTATTACTATCCTAATTTTACTAATGAGAAAATCAAGGCTCTTAGAGGGAAAGTGACTTGCTTAAGCTCACACCGTGGCAGTGCTGGGATCCAAAACTGGTTTTCCTCCCTGCTAGTACAGCAGGAAACAGCAAATTTTGTAACACAGACTCCCCGGGAAAAGAGGGCTTGGGATGCAGAGTAAAAAAAAAAAAAGCACAGCTGTTAGGCTACCTACAGGATACTGAGGGCTTGACGCCAAGCTAACCTGGGGAATTGGGGCTTGATCCTATAAACTTCAGGGAGGATTCTGAAGTCGGGGCAGCTAGACACAGGTGGTTATAGGTTGTAGTCGTTAGTTTAGCAAAGTCCATATGGGAAGCATGGGAGGAGAAAAGGTCAAGTGTCAGGGATACCAACAAAGGAAATGTTACACACATCAAGGCTTGGTTGGGAGTGCGTTTGGGAGTAGTCTGCCCCAGTGGGAAGGAGATTATTTTATCTTTGTCATTGTCTCTAGTTACTGGGACATAGAATAATACAAAGCACACTAATTTTGAATTGGTTTTATATCAGCTGTAGACCTCTAAAGACAACACCCTGTCATTGCCTGCACCCAGGGGTATCCAATTGTACTGATTGCCTTCCTTAGTCCACCCAAAGCGCATGTGAGAAGCCTGAGGCAGGCTTGCAGCAGTGGGGACTCGAGAGGAAAGGATTAAACAGAGACATCCTGAAGGAAAAACAAAGCAGAACTTGGAGGCTGTCAGAGGCACCAAAAAGAAAAGGTAAAAATTATGACCCTGAGATGTTGCACCTAAGAAAATAATGATGTTGGTGATGTAAGCAGGCAAAGTGCTTTCACAGGGAACTTGACCTTACGGCACACAAGAACTTCCAAGTAGCAACTTAACACTTAGCTGGAATGTTTTCATATAAATGTATTTCCTACTCAGTTTATTGATTTCTTGCTTATCATCTTTTTCTTTACCTGAAAACATATAAATTACTTTTAATAGCTCTTCTACGGGTAAATTAACTGAGGTGGCAGGTAACACTGAGTTGTTTGTTTTAACACTCCTTGCTTAAAACCCTTCCACTGATGTAGAAACAGATCCCAGAGATCTTCTGGCTTACACTGTCACACTGGCACCCTCTACCCCCTCAACCCTGCATGCTGCCACTTTCCCCCCTTGTTACTCCCTACCCTTCGGCATGGCCCTTTCTTGTCTCTCGGATGTTACATTCTCTTCTCTCTGCTGAGAACACTCTCATCCTCTCACCATCACTCTGGCTTCGCCAGGAAACTCTGACAGTGGATGATGATGGTGGCCACCCATCACACTTTCCCTGGGACTGAGGGGCCTCAAAACCAGAATAATCCTGGGCAAACCTGGACAGTTGGTCACTCTACATGATGTAGTGACTTAGGTCTGGAATATTTCTTCTTCTAGGAAGCCTTCCCTGTTACCAGGTACTCCTAGGCTGAGTTCAATCTCTCTGCAGAGTATTCCAGACCTTCCCTTCCTTCCCCTCCCATGACCTTTCTCACACCCCTGATTATTGAGTTTATGTCCATCTTCTCTGCCGTCCATGGTAGTGGACTTTGTGCCATCACCACTCTCACCGTCTTGGTCCTAGCCTGCATCATCTATCTCTCTGCTAAATTACTGCAGTATCCTCCCAGCTTTTCTTTTTGCTTCCACTCTTGTCCTCTTTTGGTATATTCTCAACCAAAAAGCCAGAGGAATCCTCATAAACATACATTAGCGTATGTCATTCCTCTGCTCAAACATCTTTCATGGGTTTTCCATCTCATTGGCTAAGTCATTGGAACAGCCACCTGAGACAGCTACGTCTCTGTTCCTACTTCCTGCAAACTTACTTGATTGGCTGCAGTGGCACTGGCCTCCTTACTCTTCCTAGAAGATGCTGTTACCCAGCATGCTCCAGCCTCAGGGCTTTGCAATTACTGTTGTCTGCTATGCCTGAGCCATTTTTCCCTGAGGTGCGTGTGTGGCTCATTCTCCATGTCTATCAAGCTGAGATCAAACATCGCCTTCCTGAGGAGGTCTCCCATGACCTCTCTCTACAACTGAACTCCTGGCAGTTGGCATTCTCACTCCCTGTCTCCACTTAATTTTTTCAATCTAACATCCTACTTATGTGTAACCTAACTTCTTTGATTTATTGACTGCCTCTTTCTGCCCAGAATACAGTTTCTAAGGCAGGGATTTCATTCATTGCTATATTTCCACAGTTTAAAACATTACATGACACAGAGAAGAAATGCATAAGAATTAATTAAATGAGTAATTAATGAATGTACACACAATTAAATGAAAAAGTGAACAAACACATTGGAAAGGGCGATTGACTGAAAGTCACAAATTTTAGCTTAATCACTCAGCATTTGGGAGACCCAGAAAATTACTCTAATTCTTATTTTCTCCAAGTGAAAAATGAAGGCATTAGTTTCAATACTCTTTGAGACTTACTGTAAGTAATTGTACTCTCAAAGTCTAGGAGCCAATGACAAGTATAAACTAGAATCCAAATTTGTTGATAGACAGGGTCCGAAAGCAAGAAACAGTAACAAGGAAAAGACAAACATTGTGCAAATTCCAACTGAGGAAAAAGTACGTACAAGAAACATGAGAATTCCATATGTGAGGAAACATACACAAGGCAGGTGACTGAGCTAAGCTGACACAGTGAATTAGTTACAGGGCTAGGATTGAACCTCAGCCCAGGGATATATTTCCCTGGCAGCCTGGAAGAGAGTCAATCCCCATCTGATTACAAAGACCTGCGCTGATACAATTTGTGACGAGAACACTGCCTGGAAATCTTTCCTGGTACCCGCTTAATGGCCCCCAGAGTGGGCGGATTCTGGAATTAGTCATATGAGAACAGAAGGCTTAAGAGAAGACAGATCTAAGTTCTAGGCTGCTGCACTTAGAAAAGTATCATGTTTTCGGAAATGGAAAGTAGTTTCACCAGGCGCACAACTTTCTGCCTATTGCAACGCCGTCTCTGGTGGGCGCAACAAGTTGGCCACCATTTTAGGGTACATGGGGAGTGTGGAAGGGAACGGATGATTAAATTTGAAACAGACACTTCAAGCACTACAGCTGCCACACCCTGAGTGTGAGGAACAAGACCGGTTATTCAACTTCCCCTGTAGAGCTACTGTGTGGAAACAGTGCCCAGTAAGGTCAGAGAGTTATTCTGCAGTAACCAAATTCACGGTGTTGCGGTGATTATCAGAACCATCTGCTTCTGCCGTTGTGGTTGAATAGGATTTTGCTGTTGTCTCCTTGTTTGGTAGTGCGGCCATGGCAAGTGTTGCGGATGTAATTGTCCCTGTTAAAATGTCCTCTTGGCAGTTCCCGGTTTGCGTGTGTGCATCTGTGTGTGTGTGTGTGTGCTCATATGTATCTCTATGTGATTACCAACCTCTTCAATCTTCACAGAACAGCTCTGAGAAACTGGTTTCCACGTTAAGGAAGTAATCATAAATTGGACTGAGATCCAACTAACAGATATCAAACTCCTAATTCATGCTAGTCATTTTCTTGGATGCTTTGTGCTGCTCCAAAACCTTGAGAGCCAGTACGATTGGTTCCATTTATAGACAAGAAAACTGAGGCTCAGAGAGGTTGGGAGGTAAATACTCAAGGCTCTGCTGAGAGTAAGTTGTCAAGTGAGGATAAAAGACTTTTAGGATTTATCCCCCAGAACCAGAAATATTTTGTCAAACAAAATTTTAGGCAGACTATCACTGTATAAAGCAGGAAAGGTCAGAGCTTCTTGGAATGAAGCAAGATTCAAAAATCTGGATCCCTGTCTTCTACCCCCTTCTCATCTTTTTCCTGGGTCTTCCTAGAGCTTTGCAGAACGCATCGGAAAAGTCCTGCTGTGTGAACTCCATGTCACTCCCAGCTCTGCGCTTCTATTAATCTAAGATTCGGAGAAGTTCCTACTCATATCCAGATGCAGACTATTTACTCCTTTCTTTGGATGAGCACTCACTACTCAGACCTCAGATATGGAAATCTGAATTTCTTCACAGTTTACATAATCATAGAGTGTTAAGAGTGGAAGAGACCTTGGAAATGACTAAAACTGGTAACTCTACATTTTCATTATGATAATCCTTTTTTATTTTCATTGAGTCATAGCCACCCAGAAAAAGAAAATGATTTTCCCAGGGTAGTCATCTGGTCAGTTGTCCTCTGTCCTCCAAAGACGTGATATTTACATGCTGTAACAACCAGTATATTCTCAACAACCAGAACAGATAAAGCATACGGCAGGGGCCAGGCCCACAGTCTAGATTGTGAGGAGGTCTCAGGGTTTTAAAGGAGGAACTAAGGAGGTTAGAGGCAGAGGTTGTTGTGGTTCAGGGGCTGGGGCTGGAGAAAGTGGCTGTTTGTGAATCGTCTGAAGTTTTGCCCTGCTGCTGATACCGCTTCCTTTTCAGAAGGGGACAAAAGAGGCAGGGAGGAGCAGATCTTCTGCCAGTCAAATGTCACATCAAAGAATTCCACCCAGATCCACACAGGTGCAGATACCTGAGGGGCATTGCCATTCAGATAGTGCTGTCTCTGGCAATTGGGTTGACATCATCTAGCAGCTTAGAGGATTTGAATCCTCTCCTGTCACCTTCTATATGCTGGTGAAGATTGCAGGCTGGAACCTGGGTGATTATGCAGAGGCAGACACAGGGAACATACAAGGTCATACTGCTCAAT